ATATGCTCCAAAACAAAGAAATAAAATCTTGCTCAGTGTAACTGTTCCTTGAAACTGGCCCCATTTATGAGGTCATGCTTTCCTGTAATTTAGTATGTGAGCCTTGCAGAGAGAGAGAGAGAGAGAGATGTGTGTGTGTGTGTGTGTGTGTGTGTGTGTGTGTGTGTGTGTGTGTGTGTGTGTGTGTGTGTGTGTGTGTGTGTGTGTGTGTGTGTGTGTGTGTGTGTGTGTGTGTGTGTGTGTGTGTGTGTGTGTGTGTGTGTGTGTGTGTGGGAGTTGATTAGTGGGTTTCTTCCTTCCTTTACTTCCATCTGGACACCAGCAGCAGCAGCAGCAGCAGCATAAAGGACAGGCAGTCAAACGATTGAGGAAAACAAAATGAGAGAAAGAGCGAGTTCATGGAACCCCAGCAACTGAAAAACATTCTAACAAGCAGTGTATCCTTCGCTGCCATGCATATCAAACTTCTACACAAGCCCTGACTTGATCTGCAAAGTGGAAGTGAAAGACATTTGTCATGAACGTAGACAAATACTGTTACTGCCAGACATGCGTTACCATCTCCTGAGTGCCATCAGCTGTCTCTGCCTTCTTCATGCTGGTAAGTCATTTGTTTTGCTACTTGCACGTATTAGGAAGTCTCATTCAAATTCTCATTTTAAATATGGGAAATCTCCCATTTGTTACATTTGACAAGCTTTGCTGGGTGAGAGTACATAGTCTTGCCTTTTAACTCACACGTGACACCCAGTATTAAAGCTCTTTTGCTTTTAACCTAGAACAATCTAAAACCCTCTGGTCTTCTGGTACTGTGCTTTTATACCTAAAGACAAAGACCCATGGTGAAGTGTCTTTTTATTATTATGGCCCATGATTGTGGAAGGCCCGATGGTCAGCATAAACTTTCAAGACCAACTCAAGAGTTAACTTTTTAATGTGGCTTTTAATTTAATTGTATTTATCCTTGTTTTATTCTGGTCTGTGTTTGTTGAATACTGTTGGTATTTAGTGTTTTTTTATTAATATCAAAGTCATGTGTCTACTACCTGGAAGGGGAGGTGTGTTAGTATTGTTATTGTTTTGGATGTGAAGAACTTTGGGTTACCTATTAGGTATGAAACATAATAAATACAGTTTGATTTGATCTGTTGTATAGCTTTAAAGGAGGTAACCCACAGTCTATGAAATCTTTTCCTATATGTTGTATGTATTTAGTGTGTGAAATGTTTGTTGCTACACTATTTCCCTATATTCTGACATCAAAATCAATTTTTCTGTGCATACGGTAGTTATTTAGGTTCATTCTGAATGCAGGAAAACAACCCAAAATATGTACAAACTATGTATATTGAATCTAATTATGCAATCTTTGATGTTGAAGTTCAATATTGGTCAAAATGTTCACATAGTTTCAATATGGCCTTATCAAAGTATTATACATAGCAAGGTAACAATCCTATTTGCATATTTCTGTGTATGCAGTTCTTTGTTGCACAATAATTAGCTAAAGGATCCTTCCCACTTTCAGTTGCTGAAGAATGCAGCCAGGTTGTCCTGGCAGACCGTGAGACGTTGGACGTCCCAGCGGGGGGCAGTTTGTATCTGTCCTGTGTGGTCCAGCACTGTGGAGGCGCCTGGACGGGAGACTGGATGCGGAGAAATTCAACTGAGGAAAACTTAATTTTCAGGCACCATGTGACCAAGGTGAATCTCTCAGCCAATCAAACTAAACTGATTTTAAATGTCCTGAATGTCCACAAATCAGACGAAGGTTCCTATGGATGCAGTGTTACATGGGCTCAAGATGACACTGAGCAGGGAAACTTGAAGTATGTGAACGTCACTGCAGGTATGTGGACTCATTTATAATATGATTATCATGACTCAAACAAGATAATCTAATTACCTAACTTGTGTCGCCCCTAGCTGTCTCCTCTCAGAGGAGTGTGTTGCACAGGATTTTGGTCTGTGCCGCTGCTGCTCTGTCTCTTCCTGTCATTCTGGGATTGGCTCGTTGTCTGAGTTCAGAAGTCAAGCCTCTGCCACTTCCCAGGACACGCTTCCCCCCGTCAGCTGCAAGCAGAAACCAACCACACCCAGCTCCACAGTTACCTCCGATACCAATGAAACGTAGCACTTCCTCTCACAAAGGTATCCAGATTTCATATTGTTTTGCCTGTAACACTGGTAATCTGGTATTTACTGTGTTGTTATTTTTTGTATTTTACAGCCATTCCAATGGCCAGGCAGAAGACTGAGGTAAGTGAACGCCCCGTTTCAAGACAGGATGCCCTTTGCAGTGCCGTGAAAACTATTTGTTTCCTCTCACTAGCCTTAAATGCCAAACATGCCCTTGAGTGCGCTTAAATAACTTTTTTTTATTTGCAGGTGGTGTATGCAGACATTTCCCAGGATGCATTGAGACAGCAGGGAGTCACCAAAAAGCCTGACCAGTCCACTGTGTATTCATCCCTCAGATTTTCCTGACTGCAGCAAAGCAGGTGCAAACACAATCTGTGAATAGTGTAATATGTATTCTGGATGTCTTCAGGAAACCTGAGATCTTTTCACTTTTCATTCTTTATCTCAAGGCTTCATGTGCATATTGTGGCAATTCACTAAAGCAGAAGACAAAATAAGATGCCAAGTAATCCAGCAACGTCATGTTTGTCTATGTGCCAAAATCCTTCATGCAGGATATCGCATATTGAGAAGATAATGAAGCGATATTGCAGCATGAATTCACTGACAAACACTTTTTAGAATGTGACTGGGAAACAAAACATTAAATGCAGTATAGCTAATTTAAATGTATTGCAGGTTTTTAAAATGTTGAAACCAACTGTCTATATAATATCTACCAATGTTTCTGATGTGACTTTGTACATAACGTATTAAAAGTATCAACAACACCCTCCATCCAGTGTTTTGTGAGATTTAAAAAATGAGATAAACCACATAAATGACACAAAATACAACATTTTATTTTAGAATAAATTCTCAATGGCACGTTACATAACCAAATATACATATACATTTTTTAGACATCTTTTAAATTAATATATCCCTCTAATAATTTTTACGTTTTTAATTAGCATACTCTGCAGTTACATTTTTACATTACATCAATGCAAAAGAAGTTATCTTTTTAATAAATTAAGCATATTAACAGAGGAAAGGCTGCAGGGCATTTTCGGCGATACCTGCTACAAACTAAACTTTTCTGATATTTCTGTCCCTGCTTCTCTCTCTGGAGGTAATCACTGGCCTATAAGTAAGCACAGTGTGTATAAGTCAATGCTGTTAACTTCCTTGAGGTTTGTATCAAGAAACTTAACAGCTTCCTGCCAAGTTAAAATGTCACCCAAATTACAAGGTCTTTGTAAATTAGGTGAACTGACCCTTTAAACCTTCTGAGATTTGAGTTTTGCATGTCCTAACTTCACACACTATCAAGCCATCCAGGAATGGTTCTCCCCACGGTAAAAGTACAAAGATATTCTTCCAAAGACCCACCATCTTGGGTTTTTGGTCACATAGGAAACACATCTGTGTGTCTTTAAGCTTTTTTCTTGATAAGCACAATCCCACGTTGCCCTGCTAATTCTCGTTTGTGCAGCTCCAGGCTAAGTTATGGGATAGTTGAGGACTTGAGTAGACCTATTGTGCTTTAAGCAACTGGCAATTTACTTCTAGAAGACTTTGTAATAACAACTAACAATGCGTCAAATAAAAAAATAGGAAAAAAAGTTCACATTCAAATTGTTTTTGCCAAAGTGTGGTTCAAAGGTTCGTTTTTTTCAAGTTTTCTTCATCAGCTTAAATGCTGGGAACTTTAAACCCAGTAGACCATAGACACAGATACACCGAGCTAGCAAGCTTCAATGGGAGGTATCAGAAGGTGAAATGTTTTCAGTACATTAAGTGCAACGTCTATTTTCAGCAGATGAGGGTGTTGAGCGTCTACCCACAAACCTGCTGTAACCGGACCCCGAAGTATTTTGTCCTCTCACATAGTGAGAGAGACAGACAGATAGACAGACAGAGCGAAAGAGAGCATCAGTGGTGAAAAGAGCTTTTGATAGATTGTAAGGCGCAGCTTTGGCTAAAGTAAGCGTATGGCAAAATGCGTTGGCAGTGTCTCCTACTGTGTCACTTGTGAGCTAATTTCCACTTACCAAGCACAGGAATTTGAAGTTACCCTTACAGGTACATAAATGCTGTGATAGATATTGACTGAGTTTCGTGTTTATAGTGCAGTAGACACAACACGGCAGCTAGCAGGGTTACAAAAGCATCCTGAAAATGAGGTGTTCCCTAGAAAAGCACTTTTTATACGCAAAGCTCAGATCCTTCAGAGGAGAATTGAGACTCCCTTTTCCAAAACGCTGCTACTGTAAGTCTACATTATATTTCCGTGCATGTGTTGTCTGTCTGTGTGTGTCCACATACTTTTTTTTAAGGTAAAAGAGGAACTGTTGCCAGACTTACCATTTAAGGGAAAAGGCAAAAAGGGAACATCCTGATGTCTGACAATTGTTAAAGACGTCCTTTGCACTTTCCACTAGATAAAGAGTAACAGTTTAGCCATAGTCTCATTCTTCTTGATCAACTTGTTTCTCTTTAATCTAGGTACTTGAGACTTGACTTATACCTCATTCACACCAACGGTGTTTCAGGGCCGGTTCGGAGCTGGAGCTTGAAAAGCACCGGGTTTTCCTGTTCACACCACAGCGGAGCAGCCTCTTAGCTCTGGAATCCGGTTCGTTTCAAGCACCAAAAAATTGTCCGGCTAGAGCAAAAGCACCGCATACGTCACGCTAACGTCGAGGTGGGGGCAGAGACAGATCAACTCCTGAACAACAACAAAAAGCCGGCGTTGTATCCAGTTTGTACACAACGATGGAGAAACTTAACAAGCAGCAGTGGTCCACTGAAGAGACCAGCTATCTACTGGGAATCTGGTCTTCCGAAGAGGTACAGAGGAAGCTGGAGCACAATCGGCCATTGTTGTTGTTGTCGGTGTCAGCTGTGAGGAGTTTCCGCGCAGTTTGGCTTTATGAAGCAGGCACGCAAACGGTTACGTCATGACGCAAACGATGACGCAATGACGCAGCACCAGTCGGACTCTGTGCGGTGTGAAAAGAGCCGGAGCTAAACCGAAGAACCGGTTCTGAACCTAAAAAGCTCTAGCACGGAGCTTGAACCGGAGTTGCGTTGGTGTGAATGAGGTATTACTCTGCCCACTCACAGTATTACAGCTATGCTAGGACCCTCGTGTGATGTGAACACTTAACAACAGAGATGCAGCAACTTGTAACATCGACAAAGTATTTATCTAATTTCTGTAGCCTAAGGTAGGTTAAAGGAAAGCCCACATGTTAGCTGATTCTCCTCACTATACACTCACAGTATTGTCAGTTTGTTTATAGTTAGTGGGGACTCCGGTGCAGGTGGTAATCATGGCGTGATCCTTGGCGTATGGAAGTGGTTCTCCAGGGGTTTTGTGGTTGTTGTGTTTATTTTTTTGCAGCATCGTTCGCCCGCGCTGTCCCTTTGTTGTGCAAGTCTGATATTTTCCTTCCACAAAGCTACTCGGACTGAAAGAGAGGAAAGTGAACAGTTAGAGTATTCACAAACTGAATGCTTCTTTCTGTCTGGGCCTATTACCCAACACCAGTTCACCTGTGTCATGACATTACAAAGATAATAAGATGGACATTCAGTGATATATCTCGTCATTTTTACTATGACTGTGTAATAAGAAACAAGTCTTACAATATTTATTTTTAAATTTAAAAAAAGCTGACCATGCATACTTACAGTTGTGGATGACTGGCTCATTTTGTCAAAGCGGAACTTCAAGTTTGACCTCGGTGACGTCTTACTTTTCACATCTGCTGAATATGGGAGAAGGAAATGTAAAGAAAAGGAAGAACATGCTCATTGGAGAGTCTGTCATCTCACGTTGTGAATACTTAAAGTGTGTCTGTGTAAAAACATAGATTTACCTGTTGGACTGCGGCACATGATGACAGGCGTCCCTGATCCCTGGCTGTCAACACTGAGGGAAGGACTGAAGGCGGACGAGGACGCTATAGAGGGATGGTTGGCCTGGGGGAGGAGAGCACAGAAGCATTTATTATTGAGGAAGAGATGGGGGAGGAAAGGAACTGAAGAGGCTCAGGAAACAAAAAAGGGATATTTTAGCTGAAGTTGATTTAACACTTCCTGAAGGCAAAGAGGCACCACATGTCGGGAAGGAAGTACGGAAAGGATGCTTGCGAGAAAGAGCATGTTTGCTTTCTCAGACATTTGATCAATGAAGGCACATTATTTTAGGCCTGCAAAAGTTGCAATGTCTTTATGTAAAACAGTAGTTCATAGCGGTAAATGGCTGACAATGTGTGAAGCTTAAAAACATTTCCCCCTACCAGCATCACTAAAGCTAACTAATTACTCTCACTGCCAGAGGGGGGAGACAAAAGCTCAACACTTAAGCTTTAAGGTGAAAAAGAGCAAGACTTTTTTTATGAAACACTCTGGTATACTTTACTGCTACATATTCTTTTATTACGTTCTGGCCCTGAAAAGTTACAATTTCTACAGCCCACTGTTTATCTGTCTGTTAGAAGATAACACGACTAGCAGTATCATTTGAGACACAGAAAGGGAGAGGAGCTCTAATCATTAATACCAAAGCGCTAAAACTTAACACTCTCCATTAGACGGTCTTTGGTAATTACAGACTATCTAACCCAGGGGTCGGCAACCCGCAGCTCTCGAGCCGCATGCGGCTCTTTAAGCCCTCTGCTCTGGCTCCCTTGAGTTTAGACATACATAAGAAGGAAATTAAATAAAAGTATTTGTAGGACTATTTAAATGTTGTTGCACAGTTGAAAATGTTTCATATATTGTATTTTGAGGTGATACTGTGACACATAAATAAAAAACAAAACGGTTTTAATTAGGTCAACTAAAATATGCATGATACCCTGCTACGGTTCCGCACCAGCACCTTTTCTTACAGGCGAATAACCTGACCCCCGGCTCGATGAGCGAACTATGGATAAATCAAAGAAAAGAAAGATATCGAAGGAACACAGGATTTAATTCTGCGTGGACAGAGTTATCTGCTTTCACAGCAAACGATGCTGGCTTACCGGTATGTTTGATAGGTAGAGAGAAGTTGTTAAAGGTGCTGCAGCCTTTACGTATCGAGGAAAAAAACAGAAGAGGAAGACAGCTGACGATCTTCAGTCATAATTCAATCAGTTAACTATTTTTACAGTGCAGCTATATGTTTTCTTTATTTCAAAGTGGGTACATTTTAATTGTATTTTTTTCCCTTCAAATGTGTAGAGGACTACCCAAGTGCTGTGTTTAATTTATTTTAAAGTAGGCCTGTGTATTTTTTTTAATTCGCCTTATAAGAGTTATTTGTTTCTTATTAGAGGTTAACAGTTTTATAAATAATAAATGCAATATTATTTTAGTTTTTGTCTATGATATAACAATAAATACAACTTTATAAGCTATCAAATATGTTTTGCGGCTCCAGACAAAACAAATTGTTGTGAAAGGTGGCAAAATGGCTCTTTTGGTCAAAAAGGTTGCAGACCCCTGATCTAACCCATTAAGGCTTCTAAATGGACCAACAATCTCACACTCAGTTAAGGAGTTTTTCTTGTTTTAGTTCTGCTCTATCTTTAAACCCAAATACTGATTGTTTTGAATGTCCTGAAAATATGGACAGTCTTTAAGAGTTGAACTCACTGTCTCCAGTTCTTCCAGAGCTTCTGTTTCTCCCGTGGTGCTGCTGAAGCTGCTGGTGCTGGACGAAGAACGAGAGATGTTCGGTCTGCCGCTGCTGCCCTCTTTCAGCTTAATGAACGGCCTGTGGAGAGAAACAGAGGGGAACAGAGATGTAGAGAAGCTGACCATAAGACGAAAAAAAGGGACATAAGAGCAACTTTGCCTAGTTTTACTTTTGCCATCTCCTACCTCTCTTTGTTGGGGCAGATCTCCGGTGAGCTGGGATTGGACGATGTCTCTGACCTCACTTCTTGGGAAAGCGAGCAGACCTCTGCAGTCTTTTGGTCACTGCAGACAAAAGAAAACAGATAAATAAAAACAAACACAGACATTGAGAGTGTCTATAACATACTCATAACAGACTCCATTGGAGACTTCTTTCTGAAGCCTATTGGAGATACCATTGTATTATCCGAGGTACAGCGGCATGTACCTAATAGCTGAGGGATCGCGGCATGTAGTGTTGTTATATCTGTGGGACCATAGTACCATGGTATGTACTATAGTTTACTATGGAAAAATGTCTAATGGGAGGGATTTTTTTTACTTGTAAACTTCAACACATTGATCTTACTTCTTTTATTTAAGCATTACATCTGAGTCCACCACTGAGTCCACCACTTCCTAATACCTACTGAGTCCACCTCTTCCTAATACCTAATCCCAAATGCAGTGACATTTAAAACGGTGAGACGAGCAAAACAGCAACCTGCGTGTGTTTTTGTCCGATGGGGATTCTGTGCTGGAGTGAAGACGAGGGAAGAGGCCTGAGCGCCGTTTCACAGGGCTCTTCAGAGGAGACTTGGCTGACAACACAGGAGGCTGAAGATCACAGAGTACACAATTAAGTTCTCCCATTTAAAAAGACATAGGATAGACTCTTAATGACTAATTGACATTAAACAATTGTCCCTTAAAACATTGCATTATTCTCTGTTTGACACAGAAGCTCTCAGTGCAAGCTGTTTAAGAGACTGCCATTGCATTATTTAAAATCACAACACAGATTTACTTTATTTTCATATTACCTTAATAATAGTAATATAGTACTTTTACACAGCACCATTTCCCACTCAATTTAAAGTGACCCTTCATCACCCATTTCCCTTTAAGTCCTATTACTCACAGTGAAGGTGCTCTTTGTGCATTCACTTGTGCTCTGCGGCAGCCCTCCTCCACTCACGCTGGCCGGGACCCCCCCTCCTACCCCGGGGCTTCTGTGGCGGTGAGACCCCACCATGGTCTCCATAGAGTGGCTCCTGACACGCATGGCTCTCTGGAGGAAGGAGAGGAAACAGACAGTTGGAGAGGAATACACCGAAAAGGGGGTGAAAGGGAACGTGGAATAGGAGTGGAAAGGTACATTAGTAACATAAAGATAGAGAATAGAAGTGAGGTTTTATCAGTGTAATGCAACAGTAATGTTATGTATGATTTGACGTTTAGGTTCATAGATGCTATTGTACAGAACAACCACCAGGGGGCGCAGCTCTCCAAGAATGAAGCAAAGTGAGCTGTAGTGGATGAATAAAGTTTGTTGTACTACTTATTATTGTTATTACTTAGTATTAATTTGGTTTAATAATAACATGATTTATTGAAAAAAAAATCAGAGAGTCCTGTAATACTGTAATAGGACAACTGTACATATTTTAACATTATTTAAAGTCTTCATTTTGCTATCTAACACATATAGTGCTTATTTCTTTGAAAGCATAAACACAAACAACATCATATAAAAGAATGTTTATTAATGATATGGTGATCCTCTGTTGAATTTACAGTAATGCAGACAGGTAATACACAGCGACTGCCAGGACGGCAATGAGAACAGCAGCGCCTGGGACTGACTGCAGAAAGTGCATAGCTGTCCATAGTGCCTGTGAAGAGCAAGAGAGCCAAATTGTCACATTAGTCACACACACACACACACACACACACACACACACACACACACACACCACACACACACACACACACACACACACACACACACACACACACACACACACACACACACACACACACACACACACACACACACACACACACACACACCACATTACATTGACTTACATGCATTTCCTGGAGACTTATCCTAACCTTAACCATAACCAACACATGCTTAACCCTAACCCTAACCCTTACCCTAATCCTAAACCTAACCAAGTCTTCACCCTAAAATTAATGATTCCCCTTATGGGGACCTCCAATTTGTCCCCATAAGGGAGGTGAGTCGCCACATGTGACTATGTAAACAGATTTAGGTCCCCACAAGTATAGTAATGCTAGGCCACACACACACACACACACACACACACACACACACACACACACACACACACACACACACACACACACACACACACAGATGGAAGTACACATTTACATGGTCCTATTAACATCAATTAGTCTTTCGTTAAGGACAATAGAGTGTGAGGACTTATGAGAAAAAGACAGTTAGTCAATTAGCAATTGATAGAAAACAGAAGAGACAAATTAAGAAAAAGGGATCATTTTTGTTAAAAGCACATAAGTACAGCTGTGTTTCATTCGTTTTTACACTCACACATGATTGCACAAGTCTACACACACACTCTTTGTGTCAATATCTCGATGAATATAGAGAAAAGCAGTAGCAACAATGGTTAAGCATCTGACGTCATCTTGCAGACCTGTGACATTTAGTTCACCTACAGCATGAAAACCCCACTCTCCTGTGCTGTGTGATTATATAAATGTCACAGAGCTGCGAGAACATTACATGCTGTCATGTATATCTCTGTGGAAGTCCATGTTCACCTTGAAGGACTCCAGCAGACCCCCGTGCCCCCCGTTCTCCAGCTTGTCGTCGTCTCCCGGCTGAAACAGCCCCAGTGTGGCCTGGCTCTGGCGGTGCAGCTCGTCGTGGAGGTTGTCCAGCAGCGCAGCTCGCGTTCGCCCCTGGAATCAATAAAAAACCCAACAAAATCATGAAAATATCGGCAACGTGGTTATGTTGATGATAATGGAGGAGGCTGTGATTGATGGTCTACTGCGAGTGGTTGTGCGGACGTATCACTCACCTCTAGTTTGGCGAATTTGTCGGATTTGTAGCAGGCGTTTTCGGCATTGATCAGCTTCGTCAGCAGGAAGTCTCGAAACTCAGGACCCTGGAGAGAGGAAGAGAGAGAGGGAGCAATAGTGAGGGAAGGAAAGGTGACCTATAACCATCAGCACCATAAATTACATCCTTACCTGTCTCAAAACCTTTACTTTATGCCTTTTTTTACTTGTTTTAATTAAGATATTTAAAAAACTAGCTCTAATGGAAGAAGTAGCCCACTCAGATCCTTTACTTATAAAAGGTACAAAACAACAATGTAAAGAAATAGATCATTACTACACAAAAGTCTGCAATCAATGTCATATTTCAGCTAAATATGCATAAAGTATGACAATTACTGACACTGAGTCAAGTAGAAGTAGAATTTCTAGAGGTATATCTAACATGCTAACCTAAGCAACCCATCAGAGACTGTGTGTCTGTGTGAGTACCCATCAGAGACTGCACTGACCTCACCACCTTCAAAAAACTCACCTCTTCAATCTGGCTTTTAATGTGTGATTGTTTTTGTATTATTTGACTTTAACTTTAACTATATATTTATTTGTTGTTCCTTTATTTTATTTTCTCTTCACTATATCTGTAAAGCGTCTTTGAGCACCTGTAAAAGCGCTAACAAATTAAATCTATTATTATTATTATTATTATTATTATTATTATTATTAAGCGTGGTAGTTAAGTAAGCTTGAGTTATGTGGTGGTTAAAGTATGAATAATAATAATAATGCATTACATTTTTTTTATTAGAGCGCTTTTACAGGTGCTCAAAGCGCTTTACAATTACACATTACACATATTAGAAATCAGAGTCAAGGAGAAGAAGTCAAAGCCATTTTTTTTACAATACGTTACTTTTCCATCATGTTTAAATCCAAGTGATGTCTTAAGTCGGTATTGTTAACAACACAAAGCGTATTTTTGAATTTGTCAAGTCTATTCTCACCTTCCTAAAGACAGCTGGGTTGGGAAGAGGCGGTCCAAAAGGAGGCACATCCTCCCTCGCTGTAACAGACACCTGTTGACATAAAACAAATAATAGAAACACGTTATTAGCATGCATGACAGGAGGCCTCATGTTTCAAGCTGGGAGGATGTAACGTCTGAGGAAATTGCAAGGGAAAATTGATTTATTCTTCAATTTGTTCTGCTTATGCATTTATTTATGTTGTTTTATGACAAGCACCCAGCTGACAAGGACCACTGGCAGTTTCAAAACACTCTTCACACAATGTTTGATTTACTCTTCTACAGTTATTAAAGAGCAACCCAGAATAGGAGTTATGTCTTCTACCATGCAGGCCTGGTTTGTACCTTGTAGGTTGTGTGCTCTGTGCAGGGGTTCTCCACCTGCACCAGCACATAAGAATGCAGGAAATTTGAGGCGATCATGTCTGGAACAAACGGTGTGGAATCTTCCTGGAAGACTGCAGCCACGATGTCATTTCCTATGTGCCTTTTCCTCTGGAGCTAAAGAGTTAGAGGGGGAAAGTTAAAAGATTACAAGTTGGTTAACGGCTTTGGTTTTATGGCTGTGTGGCTTATAGGTAACATTTAAATCAACAGTAAGAGTTTTTTACGACACATGCTGTTAACCAATAACAAACACAGGATTTACAAGAGGCTTTTATTTGCTTCAGTTCAAATAACTTGTAAACCTCTGATTTACATTTAACCACAGCTTACATAATGGCAATTCAGCAAGAAGAACCGCATGACATATTGCCAATATCTGACTGGTTTAAAATCTTGCAGTTAAATCTAGCAATATTAAAGCCATCATTTACCTGCTGCACATCTCCCTCAGTGAAGGGAAGCTTGGTTGACACATGGAACATGATCTCTCTCTGTCTGAAGACGGTGTAGACAGATTCAGTGCCTGTTTGTCCGTGAGATACATCCAGCCCACCGCGGAACCTGGCATTATCAAAGCACATGTGTCATTGTATCTTTGTGACCTCCAGCATTTAGTAATAGGATAAGATTACATTTTATGTGTTGTAAATATCTGTTTCATCACATTTGGTGCCTAACAAGCCCCAAAGCCACACACAAGTTTTGGCCATAATGTGTTCTTCTCCTTTACAGTGAAGTAACAAGCGTAACACAATAGAGAAAAGCCTGCCAGGCTAGTATACAATGTTCTGATCACGTGTCAATGTAGCACTTTCTTTTCTCTAATCTTTTTCCCTTAGCATTTTATCCTGGTTGCATGCTAAAGCCAAACCAGCAAGACAAATGTCTCCAAGGTTACTGCAGATGAACCCTGCTATTCTGCTATCATCCTCCTTTTATTCCATATACATTTTGTACTTTTCTGTTCATTGCTACCTCCTTTATAACTGCACAGCTCTGTCACATTGAATTCTGATATAATGCACATATTTGCGTTCTTAGAGTACATTGTCATTTTCTTATTGTAGTTAGTTTTAGTATAATTATATTTCTAGCAAACATTTATTTTTCTATTTTTTATTCATATTTTTGTAAATACTAATAGTGTTTGTTTTTTTAAATAATTAAATTCCTCTTATTGTATTTTAAATGCACCATACTGTATACACCAAAGCATTATTTTTTTACACAAAATATCGGATTATCATTCTGATTGCAATGCACTTTAAAAAGGCATAGGCCTACATTATTTTTCGTAATTTCTTTTTTCTTTTTCTGGTCTCCCAAATCCCACCTGTTAACCCCTGAGCCTGTTTTTCAGGTCTCAGGCTCGAAAATGACATTCCCAGAACAAATGACTATAACATCACTTCTAAAAGGGGTAAATTAATAATACTTTTCTCAAAGCAATGATAAACCTGTGAGTTGGATGTAGAAAAGTCAGAATCAATATAGAATTTTTTCATTTTAAAGTAAATTCAGATTGAACATAGTAAAAAAATGTAAATGATAGTGTCCGTCCAAAAAAAACACATTACTTACAGTGAAAACCACCCTTTAATGATGGGATATAAACACAAAGCTGCAGGAATCCAAACTATAACATATAATAAGTACCCTGTATCAAGATTGATGCAAAACAAGTTAAATGTGACCTTTTTAGAGAGATTTAGAAAAATAAACCCCACTTCAGGGGTAATTTGGGTGGATTTGCCATATCTATGGCCCCTCTCTGTCGATTTTGATGATTGACACATCTTTTGAACCGTTAGAGCCAATAGAATCGATCTTAAATCCAGCTAAACATTTCCATTGAGGAGTGAGAGTGATGCGCACGCAGTTTGCCCAAAACCGGAAGCTGGGTTGTAGCTCTAAAAGCAGCTAATGTGAAATCTCCGTTTTTGACAAAAATTGAACGATGGATTATCAGTAATCATTTCAAAGTGACACAGACACATTGGATTAACCTTCAGCAGCGTTTTTATCGTTGTAATGCCATTGAACACAACTTTTGATCAGAAAAAAGCAAAACAGCAAAGGTAAGACATATTTGCCGTTTTGGCTCAGTAAAGCTACGCTGTGTGTTGTCTGGGTTTGCCTGAGCTGCCGCAAGTTCTAATCGCACAGTGATGATACTTATACCTCTAGAATATGTGGAATCTCAGCTTTATTCTGATATCTTGTTTGTGCAGATCCGATAAGTAATAAAGTATTGCTACCGTGAGTTCTGTGCTAAGTGCGTTAGCATTTTTTCGCTCAGGGCTAATTCAGAGGCTCGGCGTTAGAGTTGTGTTTTGTTTCGATAAAAATGGTTCACATCGTCAGTTAGCTGAGTTTCTTCCCGTTAAGTGGGTATGACACATTAATAGGTTGTTAAATGTTAAGCAGCCCTCAGACCAGGGTCGGCTCCAGAACAAATCGAATGGGGGGGCAAGCATTTACCAAGGGGGGGGCACACACTGCCGTCAACAACCAACACACAAACACCAACGCAACTTCAATTTAAAAAAAACATGCTGTAAAGTGTCTTTCACACACATTGCAGGGGTGTAGTGCTATTTTATAGCGCGCCTATGACTTGTGCATACATGCACGGTTGTGGCACGACCACCAAAACAGAAACATATAAGGACATAGGCCACCATATAAAAAGTGTGCAAATGTATTTAGTATCCTATCCATGTGAACATGTTTTAGGTGGGGGTGGACCTAACCTCCTCTAGGAGGGTCTGGGGGCATGCTCCCCCGGGAAGATTATTTTTTAAATATTGAAGTTAAATGCATCAATCTGGTGCACTTTGAGAGCAAAATGAAGAGATCTATGGATAGCCTACATCTCTCAGCATCCATATGAAACAGAACTGTACACAGATTTACTTTTTCTTTATGGATATTTTACTAATCACTCCCCTTTTAAACTGTATTCTTGTGTTACTGTCCTATAGTATTTCATACCCGTTTTTCATTTATTCTCTTATTCTTTAATAACTATAATGATCATATAAAGGTATTCCTCGCAAATACTTGTTTACATAAATGGTGACCAAACCGTTTGAGACCCACTGAGATAACCTACACTAAAGTGAACTATCTAAACACTGAGAGAGTCCTTACCTCACTGAGCTGAGGTTATACGATCCTCTCAGTCTGACAGGAGAGGACTCTCCTCCACCTTGGTGTAGAAACAGCTCTTTATATCCGTTAGCATAGCTAGCTAACCAGATGCTAACAACAACATTCCACGTTACCACTCGCGCACTCACAAAATGCGCTCGTGCCACACACACACACAGAGCCGAGCTTGAATGAAACACAGAGACCCAGAAGTAGGCTACTTGTACTGTAGGCCTACTATATCATATCATTTTCGATGGCTTACTGTATAATCAGTGTAACAGATGAACAGATCGCCACTGGGCTTTCATCTAAACACACAGCCACGTAATGATAACAAAACAAAGGTCGGGGGTCATTGGTCAAGCAACACACCAATCAGAGAGCAGCAGTGAGCACACCTCAGGCTGTGTTTTATATTTGTATTCTTTATTTCTGATGTATTTCACACAAAAAACCTTTAGTGGAAACGTTTTCACTGATATGATTAAAAAAATAAAAAAACGGCAAAGTGGCAAGGCTTGCCCACCCTGCTTTGGGGGGGCACAGTGACTAATTTGGGGGGGCATGGCCCGCGAATGACCCCCCATGACGCCGACCCTGCCTCAGACGCTGTTTATTGCAGATGTTGCGTTTTTGCCAACAGGTTAAATTCTCTTCATTTTTTTTTCTTTTTCTTTATTAAATCACATTTTAGTCCTCTCTTACCCTTTAAAGTCCTGAAGTTCAATAGTGTCGCCCAGAGTGCTGAGAAACTCCTTGAAAGCTGGCGTCTCCTCATTGTTCCCAAACAGCATTTCCTCTGATGTCTAAGAGAAGTAATCATTATGTAATTGAGAAACAAAAAACAGGGCGAACTAAATATAAACAATGTCTAAGATCAAATAATGTGTGCGAGTTAAACTGACAAGATCATCATGGTTGCTCACCTGTCCAAACTTCTGGTAGACGACTCCAAATTTGAAGGTGTTGTTCACCTCGTGTTCATCATAAGCCACTATCAAATGGGATCCCTGCACAAAAACTAATATTTCTTACTAACAGTTCTCCCCATGGTTATCTAACTTGTTACATATATTCTTCTTGCTGTCGTAGTAAGGAAAACTAGTTTTTTCGAGTTCTAAAACATGTCTCGAGGCAGGTTTATTTGGGCCCGTGTTACAGGCTGACATGCAACAAACTGTTCCAGCCCTCAGAGAAGGCTCTCAGCGACACAGATGGGTTATTTTTCCTCTCCCGGGGCCCAGGCTGAGAGCGTGCTCCATCTCACTCCTCCGCCTGGCTCACAGGAGGGCAAACAGAGCCATCGTGACCATTTTAGGAAATCGCCATCTCTTCAATCATTTTTGAATAATTGACTTACTGAACAGGCCAGATGTTAGAGCAGTGGGGGGCTTATGAGGGGAACATGTGATAAGTTGCGTGCTATATTTCAGGTGTCTGAGGTAACCTTAAAAATAAAAACCCAGGCCCTTAGTAAAGTGTATGACACATTTATAGAGGTGAAGAATATATAGAAAATAAGGAAGGTATAAAGACGTGGGAGATGTTATTTAATGTCGCATTAGCACTTGCGACCCTACAGTGCACCTTTGTCACTGCGCAGAATGCTTGAATAACTCATTGATAACAGGCAAAATGAGCTGAGGGCAGACTACTAAGAATGAGTTTACACTGTGGGAGTTTAGGATGAACTTACCCTAGGGTACAGAACCGGGTTAAACTTCAGCCCCGTGGCATCGTCACACAGAAGCTAAAAGAAGAAAAATATATCACTTTATTTGACTGGCATCATATGAGAAAAATATCATTAGAGTTAAAGTACTGAAAGTAAACACTGTACTTGTTTAAGGCCATTGAGGTAATGTACAACATCTCACAGGCAATCAATCAATTATTAAAACATCACATAGTTAATATCTTATAAATATATTAAATGTATCTCTTGACCTCTAAAAATCACAATATTTTTCTCAATCAAAATCATTGATCACATTGCATATCCCTGACTGGATCATGAAATCACAAGTCAGAGTAAAAATCTCCAAATGTAAAATGGGAAGCATGGATGATGTTGGAGGATTGCAGAAAAAGCAAGCATGTTTCTATTTTTTCTTATTTAATGTATGAATGTTTTTCTGTCTTTTGGAAGTGAGTAGGGATGTAACGATATACCGAATATCGCGGTAAATAAACGTTCCAATACCGTCGTGAGACTGACAAAATCTACCGCGATTCTTTTTTTAATTAATTGATTTTTTAAAATATTTTTTTTTAAAACACTTTTTTTTGTTTTAAACCTTTATTTAACCAGGTGGTACCATTGAGATCATCGATCTCTTTTTCAAGAGAGACCTGTCCAACATGGCAGCAAGTAGGTTACAACATGAACATAAAACAACAGAACACAAAAGGACATCGTATTTACAGTGCTACATTTACATACCTAGAGACATTGACAAGTACCAACAGTATATTTATATCTCGCCCTGTCAATAAGCCTCACCTTCTTGGCAAAAACTGTATTGTTTTTTGAAGTGGTGGAGAGACAATGCACAGTTTGACCCACTGCTGTCACCCATGGCCAAAGCATATCTCTCCGTCCCACTGAGGTGGCGTTAGACTTTTTCGCTGTCCGTCATTTTGACAGACAGGATCGTAAAATGTCCGTCATAATCCCTTATTACTAGGGCTGTCAAGTTAACGCGTTAATAACGCGTTAATAACGCGTTAATAACGCGTTAATAACGCGTTAACGCAAAAAAAAATTAACGCCACTAATTATTTTAACGCGATTAACGCATGTGTATTTTTTTTCCTCTGCCGCCCCGTAGTTTCAGAGCGCATCGAGTTTAAAATACCATCTACAAGCTGATGCTGACAGCCCCGCTCCTGCCGCCCGCTTGTGGCAGACCACACTTCCACGCTCACCGGCAGGCACCGACTGGCTATTGGGAGGACCGGGAGGGCGTGTGTATGTGTGGCCCGAGCGAGCGAGAGAGAGACCTTACGTGCATTGTTGTTGTTGTTAGCATCTGGTGCTAGCTAGCTGCGCTAACGGATCTAAGGAGCTGTTTAAATGAAAACAGAGGAGCGACATTTCGCCACAACTGCTCCGAGCACTTGACTTTATGCAGGCAGCCAGACAGTGGGACATTGTACGAAAAGTCAGCACACTCAGCACGGATAGTGCGCGCAACATGATCGCAGCGTCCAGCCAGCTCCCGTTCGAGCATAGCCTTGAGTTGCACATAGCTCCAACGATCCATCACACACACACACACACACACACACACACACACACACACACACACACACACACACACACACACACACACACACACACACACACACACCACACACACACACACACACACACACACACACACACACACACACACACACACACACACACACACACACACACACACACACACACACACACACACACACACACACACACACACACACACACTTTGTATTGTATTATTGTATGAGAGAGGTTCCAGGTTGAATTGAGGCGAATATTTGTAATGTTCAGAGGTTGTTGTGTTTAATATTCATGAGAATATTTGACATTGTTCAAATGATAATAAACATTAGCATAAAGCATATTTGTCCACTCATATGTTGATAAGAGTATTAAAAACTAGAAAAATATTCCTCTTAGGTACATTTAGAACGGATAAAAAATGTGCGATTCATTTGCGATTAATCGCGATTAACTATGGACAATCATGCGATTAATCGCGATTAAATATTTTAATCGACTGACAGCCCTACTTACTACCCGTCGGGTCTGAACTGTTCACAAGAGAGCACGCTCGTGAACTCTCAACGGGGGGGGGGGTGGGTGTGTACGGTTTGGAAACTATATCATTTCCTTTTGGAGGGCATGCATAACACGGCATAACACCAGAGCCTCGCTGCGGGGAATAGCTGGCGCTGTTCCGAGTTTGTTATAATCTGTCCGTCATTGATAAATAAAATATTCGGTTAACGCGACCACTGCTGTCCCAGCAACATCAGTACCAAGCGAGAGAGTTTTTTCCAGAGCAGGGGATATTGTAAATGCCCAAACATCCCAGCTTATAAATACCTGGAAATGTGGACATTCTCATATTCCTAAAAACCTGTCTGATGATGCTGAGTGAGTGACTAGTGAGTTTGAGTTGAGTTACTTGAAAAACTAAAGTGAAACTTGATTTATTTTATTGCAGGGTCTGATTATTAAATGTCCTTGTTTATTTGTGAGATGCAGTGGCACAAAGAAAATGCCTACTTTGTTTGGTAGTACTATAGGTACAAAAACACTGGTTTTCTTGTTCCAGTCTGTTACTGTCACTTTGTTTTTGACACTTTAAAATACTGCTATCCTAAAATGCTGTACAAATCAGATTTATTATGTAATAAAGAAACATTTTCCGAGTAAACATTTTTTTTATTGAAAATGTTTTTTTAATATATATATTTTTCTTTATTATTCAATATCGCGATAAATACCGTACCGTGGACTTGTTATCGCGATATTATCGTACCGTGAGGTTTTGGTATCGTTACATCCCTAGAAGTGAGTAATCAAAAGTATGCTGTTTGCCAGACTCTTCCCAGCTGTGTTTATTAGAGCGAGAGATCTCACGGTTTGCATTACCAAACGAGAATTTGCATTTCCCCTGGCAGGCTTTACGGCCTCTAAATAATTGATCTCTTTCATTAAAATATAGGTATTGCTTCTTTTGTATCTCATTGTGCAGAATAGCAGTTACCAAGGTAAGTTTGTTGATGTTTGGCTTCATGTTTTAAAGGTTTACAAATGAAGAAATAGTAAATATTCCTAACTTTTTTATTCTGCCTTATTTATTGGTTTGTCTTATTTCACTGGTATTATCAACCATCCTGTTTGTTTCGATTGTTTTCTTTCATCCTCTTATTCTCAAATTATTGAATTTATGTATTGCTGTTATATCTTGTCCTGTGTTGCAATAAAAGGTAGGAAACATTGTGAAATTATTTATTTATGAGATCATTAAGATGCCGTAAAGATGTCCTTCTTCACCTCCTTTGTTTCCCCTTAAGAGCCGACCAGACTTCATTCATCATATCCAAATTATGTTTTGATGTTCCTCTGAATACATGGAGGGTGTAGAGGGTTTATGGAGATTTGCTATTTTTAAACCTTGTGTATTTTTAAACTGTCTCTTACCTTTGCAATCTGCGGTACACTAGGGAGCTGGTTGATTCCTGCTAAAGAGATCCGGTCATGGACAGTTTTGATCCTCGACCTGCAACAGACCAAGAACAGAAGCTAGTCAGATTGTTCAGAGATGTGTTTATATGCAATGATGTGACATTAGGAAAAACCTATGATCATCGTGAGTTTAGTGTAATCAGATAAAAAGGACAGCTAGTGATAGGCAGATTGATACACAATGAAGAGGAGCCCCAATGCTAATCTAAAAAACACTTCATTGTTTTCCTTTTGATTAAAATGTCACCAACTGTGATAATGTCAGGAAAGCTGTCCCCTAACGCGCCACACATCTGCTCAGAGTTAATCATGATCATGTGCATGTCAAGAAAAGAGAAAGGAGACAAGTAAGACCCAACACATTTCAAACAAGAGAGAGAGAGTTCATTTTTCTTTACAGCCACCGAGCTACCTCTGTGGCTCGGTGCGCGGCAATGTCGCTATTCAGTTTCAAAATTGATCCACCACTTCTGTCTAGACAACTCTAGGACCGATGGCCATTCAATGAAGCCTCTTGACAAGAACTCACTCTACAATTATGATCCTGTAAGGATAATTTGATGTTCCTTCTACATTTCATCTAAAGGTAAAAACTTTGGTTTTTATATCAAAATAACTAAATGCTAATAACCTATCAAGCAGCTTTAGCTGTTTTGTCTGAATTTGTATTACTAATTAGCAGCGGTGGAATGTAACTGAGTAATGTACTAACTGTATAATATGTTGGTACTTGTACTATACTTGAGTATATATTTATTTGATGTATTTATCTCAAAGCCCTGCTGTGCTTACTGTATGTATACTGCACAATCTCAGAGAGTGACTAGCATAGTCATGGTATAATCTCAGTTAAAGTAGAATAGAATAAAAACGTAACAAATCAGAGAACAAGAAGAGCAGACACGTTAAAGACAGACTTTCAAAGTCATAAAGCAAGAGAAACATGGATTTTACTGAAAAGGGTGAGTATGTCACATGAAATGCATTGAGTCAAGATATAGCTCTGACAATTCATCACCCTCATTACCTGAGCATGATGCGCAGGAACTCCTGTCCCTCAGCCTCCTCGTGTTTCAGAGACATGATGAGGTGTCCTATGCTGCTGCCGGTGCAGTAATAATTCATGTGTTCCTGGATGCATGAGAGAGAAAGAGTGTGTTAGGTCAAACACAACAGAATACTGCCTCTGCTTTGTACATAGTAGAACCTGACATTAATACACACTCACTCACCTTGCCTAGGAAGTGCTTGCGGTAGGCGCGAGCTGTGCTGTTGCACTCCAGGCGGTAGCTGTGCCCTCCTGCGGGGCTCATGCCCTCTCCTCCGTCCTCCTCCTCACAGAAACTGGACTCTGAGGAGGAGGGAGTCCCTACTGCTGCCTCCACATCTTCAATCCAGTAACCCCCAAACTGAGGTAGGATCACCTGGGGGTACGGACCACCTTTCCCCAGGACCTAGGACAGAAGGGCAGGAGGGAGGAAGATAAAAGCAAAAATATAGTCAAACATAAGAGCTCTCGGAAGCAAGCAGAGTTCTCCAGAATAATACCCTCATAAGTTATCCTTGTTAAGCATGCAATCATTTAATAGTACTTAAAATGTATTATCTATTATCAGAAACACTTCTAGCTAGTGGATACACATGAGATGGGTGTAAATGAGTGTATAAAGTGAGTGAGAAATGACTCACATCTTCTATCCGTGGGTAGGGGATATAGTCATCCTGTCAAATAGAGGACACACACACACATTGTTAAAGGGACTCATTTTAACATAATGAAACCACTACCACCACATAATGTACAGCTGCGAGCACAGTCACAAACACAGAAAGGTAACACAACATTTTATGCCAAAATGAACTCTGAGGAGATGATGCAACAGCCTGAAATGCACAGTCATCGGCCAGCATCAATAAGGGCGTGTCACCCCCTGATGATGTTGGAGGTGTTTTGATTCAGTAGCCTGTGGGGTTAGGAGCTGCTATGAGCCTGTAGTTGTTTGGTAGTCTGCTAGCGTAGCACAGCTCGGGTGTATGACCTCTAAATAGTGCTGAGGCCCGCCCGCAGCACTAAGGGTGCAGCGCTACGGACAGCCACTCATTTATATTCTGCATCAGCAGGAGTCAGGAAACTGGCAGTCCAGAGAGGATCAATTGACAGTTGGAGTTCATTCAACTTATAATCAATCAAATCAGGACGCTATTGATTTTGTACTTTAAAAGCCTTGAGAAAAATGTGAATAGCATTCACAGTGGGGGGGTCGGATTCCTTCAAAGGCTGACAGATGAGACAAGAACAACCACAGAGCAAATCAGGAGGCATGATGAAGCAGCGGGAGGAAAACATGCAGAGATGTGTGCTAGTGTCTCTGGTCACACCTTCCATCTTTTGGTCTCTTCAGCTTTAGGGACCTTATTAGTGTCCGAACGCAGCATGAGGATGGAAAAGCACAAGGGTCAAAAAGAGAAAGTTTGATTTATATTTTTGCAATATAAACTGTCCCTGAATATCTTGTTCTCAGACCTCACTGTGTCTGTCCTTTTTTTGGGGACACACCAGAACTTAGACATGAACTGAGACAGCAGAGTTTTGTATTTATAGTTATAGTTATTAAAATATGAAACTAAATTGGCCAATTATGGTTCAGGCCCAGTGGAATAGCTTGTCTTCATGACTGAGTGTTGAAATAAACGTGTGGGGATTCAGAGTGCCGTACATACACACCACCACCACCACCACCACCACCACTTATAATGCTACCAATCATAACAATAATTCATTCTTACAAGAAAATACTTTTGGACACACACACACACACACACACACACACACACACACACACACACACACACACACACACACACACACACACACACACACACACACACACACACACACACACACACACACACACACACACACTTCTCAGTCTGCTCTGTAGTGGTGTGTGTGAGTGCATATTGATGGAGCAGCTGTTACAGTCACGAGGGAGTCATCGTTAACAATACGAGACTGATCACAAAGAAGCACTGAAGAGCTTTTCATTTTCCGTCATAGAGCGAGAGACAAAGACGAGGAGAGGATAAAGGAAGAAGGAGGCACAGGTGTCAAGAGGTGAAGTTACAGGATGACGAAGAAAGGAGGGTGGAAAAAGAGATGAGGGTCAAAAAGGTGACCTTTATCCCACCATCCAGATTACAGTATAGAAGCACGCATTGAGCACTGAGTTCCATATGTGGAGTTAAAGATAGCAGAGCTCAAGAGAGCAGGTCGTTGCAAGCTGAGGGTCAGAAAAGATGGATGAGGAGCGCAGTTTCTGTATGTGTGTGTGAGACTCTTTGATGATGGCGCTGCATTGACTGACTGTCATCACCCAGTCACACTTTCCAAATAAATCGACTGATGTTTTCACTGAGCTGTATCTCCCAGAGCGGCATAACTCCTGCCTGTCTTCTTCTGGGTTATGGTGGACTTATTCTACATCTTTGTCAACAGATAACAGAAAAAACATAATTTTCAGTCCTAATTTCCCTACCCAGTTTATGTAGACTATTTCTTCATACAGATGTGTTTCCATTTACATTTGTTGTTGCTTCACTCAAACAGCATCTGTTAGGAACTATTTTCAGCAGCAGATTTAAACCAATTTGGTATTTTTTTCAGCAGCAGGACATTGCATGTATTGACCCAAAATAAACTACTGCCTGTTTATTCTATTGAAGGAACATGTAAACAGTATATCAATGGATATCCTCGAGCTGCGATATTCGGCGATACAGGAGAACAAGCAAAACTCATCCTGAGCACACCACATCCTGGTTGGACTGCCTGAACTTCCTGCTGCACACGGAGCAGGCGTAGGGTTTCTCTCCGCTGTGGACCAGCAGGTCATTTCTGGTGGAACGTGGAGTGATCCGCCCGGTGTGTTTTCCTGCGGAGGACCGAGCCCCGTTCAACTCACTAGCAACACAGAGTGGGCTTCGCTCGTGTGGAGGCTACTGCCAACTGTCATCGCCGGTGCCGAGCCCTGGGCCAGTAGTCCTGGCCCCATCTATCCAGGACGGGCTTCCATGGGCGGATCAGGGAAGGCCTATGATTACCTGCTGAGTGGATCTTGCCCCGCTCTTCCCCTCTGACTATTACGATGGCGTATTTTCCTGTGTTCCTCTGCCTTGTCGTGGCATGGAGTTTTAGCGGCTATGCTATTGGCAACCCAGACTCCTTACGCCCGCGGCTGGTTACCACAGATGGTGTGACATCCACACGGGGCCATGAACATAATGGATGGTTGTCGCATGTGATTAGTTTTGGAAATGTTTCTCATTGGAATTACTGCCCCTGGGTTCGCGAGATCTGTTTTTTTCCTGGGGTCTTCACCGTGGGAAACCCTACAGATGCCCTTTGCCAGTATTCTTCTTCTAACTCTTCTAGTCTCCCGACTATAACGAAATGTAAGCAGAAGTGCTTAATCATGTTGCTTCTACTTCTGTCTGGTATTCAGCCTAATCCTGGTCCTTTAATGGCATGTAATACCCCGACGGACTTTAAGAACTTGTCTGGGTTACACATCATCCATGTAAATGCTCGCAGCCTGCTTCCCAAAATGGATATGTTGCGAATTTGGTCAGAGTCAACTGGAGCTGATCTAATTATTGTTTCTGAGACTTGGCTTTCAAAGAAAATATTGGATAAAGATGTTGGAATTTACGGCTTCAATATTTATCGTTCGGACCGCCCCAGGAAAGGTGGTGGCGTGGCGATTTGCGTAAAACATAATCTTGCTGCACAGGTCATCTTCTCCAAATCTGCTGTTAAGCAGTTTGAAATCTTAGCACTAAAGATTGATTTATCTGGTGGTCAGTTTTTAACTGTTGTTGGTTGCTATAGGCAGGGGTGCACATAACTTTTTGAGTGAGTTACTCAGATGAGTACCAGGAGACAGCGTTTGGTACTCACCCCACACGAAGCGTGGTCCTCCTCAGTGTCTCCTTCACTGTCCTCTATTTACATTTATTGCATGATAGATGATGAAGATGCAACTCCCTGTCTCTTTTTAAGCCTCCGATTTGCTTTCTCCAAAACTTGTTGCCAAAACTGTGAAGTCCTTGCATTTCCTCAGGCCAAGTTGAAGGATCAAATACTAAGAAATGATCACATGACTTGAAGTCATATCTGATTTCAGATGTGGGAAGTTACTAAGTACACTTATTCAAGTAATGTACACTACTTATATGATATTTGTACTTTACTTGACTTTGATCTAATTTGTAAAACTAGCTGCACCTTTACCAGCTTTGATAACACTTTAATGATCAATCATTATAAAACATATCATATATATTATTCTGAAATGGACCAATCTGCACAATCACTACTTTTACTTTTGGTACTTTAACTAGATTTTGATGATAATACTTTTCTACTTTTACTTGAGTAACATTTTGAATGCAGGACTTTTATTGTAACAGAGTATTCCTACACTCTGGTACTTCTACTTTTACTCAAGTACAATATCTGAGTACTTCTTCACCTCTGTCTGATTTCAAACTCTTCCAAAACACCCTGAGGAAGTTTGCAACTGTGTGTTTCACTCCACTTTGGTGTAAATAAAACTGCAGCAGCTTGACCACAGAGCGTGAACGTTGTGATCAGCTGCTTTTGCGCAGTTCTCCAGTGTGTGCGCGGGGCACAGAGTGTGCTCAGGGGAGTCTCCCACTGCAGCCAATTGGCGGAGTTTTGGCACAATTCTGTTGTTCATACCGACGTTAACCCTGTCTGTGCACACGGCGACCAACTCTGTTGTCCGGTGATCTAAGCCTCTGCCTCCTGTAACCTTCACAGGTCCGTCGGTTATGTCCTGCGCGGCTCGGCCAGCTCCAGTTCAATCAGTCATAGAAAGTCCGAAGAGTTTTTGCAGGGAGCGAAACGGCAACGTAGCTGCTTAATGTCTTTGGGTTTTTTGACATGTCTCGTAGTTTACTCCATTGACTGTTGACAAGAAACACGTGTAGACGAAATATGTGTTTTGTTTTGATGTTTTGAGGTACGCAAAGGCGCGTAGTGACACAAGTGACGTTACGCAATTCATATTTTTGCCGCGCATGCGTACCTGCGTATACCAGTTATGTGCACCCCTGGCTCTTGGCCCCCTTCTGCTACAAACGAGACATTATCCTCGCCGCTAATGCAGCTTTTATCTCAAGTTTAAGGCAATCATCCTGGTAGGTGATTTTAACTGGGACCAGGCTTTCACCAGTGTCTGATGATTTTAAAGCTCATTGTATGTCTCAACATTTTAAAGTAATTGAAAGTCCTACTCGTCTTAACACCAGGTGTCTAAAAAGATCATCTCTTATCAATCTTTTAATTACTAATCAACCCCATAAATATACTGCAACCGGGGTCTTTGCTAATGACCTAAGTGATCATTGTCTAGTTGGTGCTATTAGGGATACCAAAATCCCCCGTACCAAACCCTGCGTTGTTCTGAAAAGAAATGTTAAGCACTTTATAGAGCAAGCTTTTCTTCATGACTTAGTTCATTTGAAATGGGATCGTATTTTATTGATTGGTGATGTTGACCGATGCTTGGAAGTATTTTTATGACAGTTTTAGTTATTTTTTAGATAAACATGCTCCGTTTCGCCGGTTCAGGGTGCAGGGCCGTGATAACCCCTGGTTCACTTCTGATCTGGCAGCCCTCTTACGCAAGAGGAATCTCCTTTGGGCTGCTGCGAGGTTCTGAGGCTGACTGGATTCTTTTTCGTCAACTGCGTAATCGCTTCCATTAAAAAAGCCAAAAGCGATTTTTACTTATCCCAGACCACAGACAGTTTAAACGATCCTAGGAGATTTTGGCATACCATAAAATCCCTCTCTGCCAGCTCTCGCTCCTTAGAGCTGCCTCCTAACATTGTTGTTGACTCCACCCCTGTGTCAAATAAGACAGAGATGCTTAATTGTTTTAATAAACATTTTATTGCCTCCAGTTCCTTGTTTGACACATTATCTTTTGGTAAATCATCTCCCTCCATCACCACCAGTCATGCCTCCAGGAGCCACACTTTCTCGTTCAACCCCTTCAATGTTGGGGAGGTTTGTAAGGCTCTAAAGGGCCTAGACCCCAAAAAATCAGCAGGCCCGGACGATCTCCCCCCTTATTTCTTACGGCTAGCTGCAGATATTGTAGCCAAACCACTGTGTCATGTTTTTAATCTTTCTATAACAAGCAATGTCATTCCAGATGTTTGGAAAACTGCAAATGTTCTCCCCTTATTGAAATGTGGTGATCCCATGGTGATGAATAATTACAGACCAATTTCCAAGCTCTCTATTTTAGCTAAAGTACTTGAAAGGCTGGTGAATGATCAAATCAAAGAATATTTAAGCTTGAACAACATTCTATCTCCTCACCAGTCAGGCTTTAGGAAGCAGCACAGTACAGTAACGGCTGCTTTGAAAGTAGTGAATGACATTGTTGAAGGCTTGGACGCAAAGAGCTACTGTGCTGCCCTTTTTATAGACTTATCCAAGGCATTTGATACTGTGGACCATGGCATTCTGTGCCAGAAGTTATCCCATATAGGCCTGTCTGACCAAGCTGTTGGTTGGTTTGCAAACTATCTTTCAAATCGCAAGCAATGTGTAAAATTCAGCGGTCTCTCCTCAAGCTTTCTTAATGTGCCCAGAGGCGTTCCTCAAGGTTCCGACCCTTGGGACCGACCCTTTTTACTATTTATATAAATGATGTGGGTCAAAGTATTGATGCCTCTGTACATCTATATGCAGATGATACTGTTGTGTACTGTTGTGCTAGCACTGTTGCCCTTGCATTTGAACGTCTGCAGTCTGCTTTTGACACTTTGCAGTCACATCTGTTCCACCTTAGGTTGGTGTTAAATTCAGATAAAACAAAAGTCATGTTGTTTTCCAATAAGAAAAAGTTACCAACTGTTCTTCCCTGCATCATGTCTGCACAGCATAACCCCATTGAAGCTGTTAACACCTACAGATACTTAGGCATCACCATAGATGAAAATCTCTGCTTCAAACCACACATTGACAATCTTTTAAGGAAATTGAAATTAAAGCTGGGATTCTTTTTTAGAAATAAGGCCTGCTTCTCCACAAGTGCGAGGAAACGGCTTGTAGCTGCCACATTTTTGCCGCTCTTGGACTACGGGGATGTTGTGT